GTATTTCAACATGAGAAAGGAGAAATATTTTTCAGGGCAAACAGAAACTGCATTCCCTTCTAAGTTCAGATATCAAGAAAGGAACACATTAGTCGTGTGTCACCAACCTCTTCATGCTCTTATATGAGGCATTATATTCTCTACCTTCTTAGAATAAGACCGTCACCAAGATCGAACCCTGCGGACAGCATGTCAAACTAAAACTAGAAGTCATATATTGGTCATTATTATCTGCGCAGTACCAACATTTGAAAAAATACAATAATTAATCATCTCCTTTGTTCATTATGCAATTATAATGAGAAAGTCAAAAAGCAGAGGTTAAAGGAACAGTTCATAATTTCAGCAATTGCTTTTATATCTGAGCCGTGAGATGAGAAGAATAGGTATATATTTACTCCTAATATCAACTAGTTACCTGCTATAAAAGACACCATGTCCACAGAATCAAACCCATCAGATTTCCAACCTCTCCACGATGACAAGACAAAGAGCTGCTCTTAGAGGACCTCAGGGACAAGACTGTAGACCTCCACAAGGCTCATGACTGGCCTACAAAGACCATCAGAAAGCAGCTCGGTGAGGAGAGACCACTGTTGTGCCATTATTCGTTTAATAGAAGAAAAATGAAATGAGCATCAGTCGCCCTCGTGCTGGGGCTCCACACAAGAGATCTGGTCCGTGGGGTTTTGAAGATCAGGAGAAAGATGAGGGATCAGCAAGACACTACACGGGAGAACTTGTAATGATTCAAGGCAGCTGCGGAGCCACAGTCACCAAGAAAAAAACTATTGGTTAACCACTTACACCAGGGTAGCAACACGGTCGCCCGCGGGCACTTAGTCCGCCCGCAGGCGGCAACGTGAGGTCGCCCCGCGGGGCATGTTCTAAAAAAGCTCGCCAAGCAAGTCCATGCTATAAATCACAAAACAAAAAACGGAAAGTGATTAAAGCAATCTTACCCCATGCATAACGAAATCTAAATCGATAGCGAACGTCTAATCTACTTAATATAACTCTATTCGATCTAACACCCCTCTTCCCGCCCACCCCCACAATGAATATCGCACCAAACACGTTCTTGCCTTTGCATTTGCGCGGTCCAGAGTTGCAGTCGGAAGAAAGCAATGCTGGCCACCTCCCTGCCTGATTTTCCTTCTGCCAGAATCTACATAACACATCAGCCATGACAGCCTAGTCGTGCCAGCCTACACAGCACATGAGGGCAGAGATTTTACTCTGTGTGTTGTAACTTGCATATTATATTTATTGCACTTTGACATACACCACGCATGGCGTAAGTTTCCTGGGTACAGGGGGGACATGTCCCCCCCGCTCTTTCGAAATCCCGCTTTGTGTCCCCCACTTTACAGATATGTGTATTATTATTTTTTAACGCCAAACGCTCATCGCCCGACGGTGGAGCACACAGCCTCTGTGAGCGAGCGAGACAGAGGGAGAGAGAGAGCGAGCTAGGGAGGGAGGGAGGGAGGGAGAGAGAGCGAGCGAGAGAGCTGGGAGAGCACACCTTTATCTATTTAATATAGATAAATTAAGAAATCATTCCAATGTGTACTATAGGACAGTGAAAAAAACAAAAAACAGTTTAAAAGGGGAGTGATTAGTAAAATATGCATTAATAGAAAGAAAGAATGCTAACTAGGTAACATAAGATAAGAATAAACCAGTTTAAATGATTTGTTATTGGTTGTGATCATATTCTAAAGATGATTGGATTATTGAAAAGTATACAGCTCCCTTTCATATGAGTGTTGAAAGCTGTATCCACAAATTCACCAGAATGTATGAATACACCAGAGTGCACCAGCATTTCACTTCAACATTTTAAAAAACATCTTCCCGGGGGAGCACGCCCCCGCACCCCCCTAGAGGAGCTGAGGCCCGTCCACCCCCAAATAAAGCAGGTTAAAATAATTAGATTGCAAACATGTTCTTTTAGTAAACACTGAAAACGTGTCCCACAGACCCAAACAGCACACAAAGGTTAAAGGTAAGCATATTAACGTTAAAATGTGCTAAATATATACACTGCAAAAAACAAAAAAAGAGGAGTAAAAGTAGCCCCCGACTTGTTCAATTTTTTAGAGTAGCCCTCACCCTAAAAAAGGTTGGTGACCCCTGCACTACACCATAATGGATCAAATCCTGCAGCGCCTGAAGGCCCCCCCCCCTGCTCAAGAAGAACATGACAGGCCCGTTTGAAGTTTGACAATGAACATCTGAATGATTCAGAGAAGGCTTGGGAGAAGATGATGTGGTCGACACGCCATGTTTGATGAATTTTGGGTTGATTTTTAAGTTTTAGAGGACTAAATACTGCTATTTCTGATACTGGAAATGTCAGAAATTGATTAAACATCCTCAAAAATCTTCCAAACCACACCAAAAGTGTCCAAATTGACCAAGCCATTTTAAAGCTATTGTCTGCATATGCTTATCAATGCTAATTAACACAATTGTGCAAATGGCCCAACATATGCAAGTTAGCATCCAGCAGTCTCTATGTGCTGGGGACCCTACTATTCATTTATAACAGAAAACGTTGGGGCACTCTACATTTCCGGGGTTACTAAGCTGGCAAACAGACCATAGAGCTGTAACACATACTGACCCCGGCCTGCTGACAGCTCGTACCTGCACTGGTAGCCCCCTCCGGTGGTCTGCCCCCGGCAGGAGGAGCAGGGAGGGGTGGAGGAGGATGGAGCTCCGGGCAGGGTGGAGGAGGAGACCTCAGGGACCTGCTGGGTCTCTGCTCCCCCTGCAGCCTCCCCTCTACCTCCCCCACCTCCTGCCCCCCCTCCCAGGGGCTTGTGAATGCAGCACTGTCCCGAGAACTCACGGCAGATCTTCTCCACTGCCTCGCGCACCACCTGGTCCTTAAACTGAGAGAATGGAGGAGAGCGCTCACTTATTTTGCCTCTGTTAGTCTAACAGCTGACATGTGCTCCATCAGCTTGTTCCTACCTTCTCCATGTACAAGGTGAACCAGGCTGGGGGGGTCTTGTCTTCTTCTTTGGTTCCCTTCACTTCTTTCAGGATCATCTGATCAGAAGGAGAATATGAGATCTAGTGGATGACTCACAACATCTTTGGTACATCATTGACATTAACCTGCAGCCTGCTCTTTTTCAGTAGATTGCATTTATGCTTCAAATATCCTAAAGTGGTGTTGATATGAGGAGACATTTGTTTCCACAGATTTTATTTTTCTGTAAAATTCTGAAGTCAGAAATTATTAACATTAAGGACTGGCCACAAACTGCCATTTAAGGAAAACGTTTTTTTCAAATATATAATAAAACAAACCTCTATATTTAACTACAGTAAAAAAAATGAAACATTGACTTTCATTAATATTGTGTTAACAAATGTCACATAACTGTATTAAGTTAAGTATTTTTTAATACTTAACCCTTATTTAAACTTAATATTATTGCTTTCAACTAACCTAATACAGTTCTGTTGACATAATACATTAAGTCAACCTTTCAGGTTTTGCAGAGTATATTATGAAAAATTACACCTGAATGTGTTTTGATTTTTCCACATCTATCACTTAGAAAACTACAATTCTACTTTGTAAAACAGCGACGTCACACTCTCTCTCAGTGTAGAAATGTACATCTTTTATCTCTGGCAGTCAGGCACTGATGTTACAGCCAGTGGTGACTCGTCATTAGGGGCAGGCACAGCCCCACCTAGTGTCAGGAGAAATTAATTAAAATAATAATTCCAAAAATATATGTTAAAATATATTTTAAGATCATGTTTAATTGTCTGATTCGTCTCTACATTGCTGTTTTAGTCTGCGTTCTTCTAATTAGTGTCCACAGTGTGCCTATTGAGCCGTGTTGAGCGATGTGGGGCAAGCCCCTCTCTCTGCTGTTAAAATGAACGTGTACTGTAAAAACTACACTGCGCATGCTGAGAGTATTTTTCTATTCAATGTGTGCGGCACTATCGGAACCATGGATAACCTACAGCTATTTGTTTACGTGTTTAAAAAAGCACCAGAAGCTTATATACGCATCTAAGTTGTTCGTGCCCCACCACTTTTGTACATATAAAAACGCCACCGGTATCAACACATAGCTGACACATTTACATTCCAGTCATTGTTCCAAAAAACAAACTAATGAAGAGCAACATTGCAACTATGGTCACCCTAAATGGGAGGAAAACAACAAAAAAGTGAATAATATTCCAACTTTGCTTATTTACAAAACAAGGGGAATAGATTCTAAGCTTCTTTCCCCCTATTTGTAAAATGAATCCACAAAAACCATTTGAGATAGAAAAAATGTGTCAAGACAAGTCCATCTGGAGGGGTTACAGGGACATCTGCTGAATGTTACTGACTGTGCACAGGCTGGAGCTCCGTTGATCTCAATGAGCCACACTTTGAAGCTCTCGTCCACCATGAAGTCAAACCCGAAGAGTTGGAAGCTCTGGTAGGACAGGTGCTTGGTGCTGATTGACGGCTCGATGCATGTCAGACAGCTCCTGTTGAACCAGACATCAAATCATTTCACATCATCTGACTGTTTGACAAAAAAATTTGTGCTAAACATCTTTTATAATTCATCAAAAACGTTGCAGGTAATCATGTACAATGTGTTTGAGCGCTAGCCAATAGAAGCGTGTGTGTATGATAGTGATGTATAAGTAAACAATGGAGTCCAATGGAGGTGTTTCAGGCGGGGGTGGGGGGTGTGTGTGTGTGGGAGAGAAACTCCTATATAAACACATATAAACACACTACAGGAAAGGGCAAACCCCCAAAAGCATAATAGGGCCTCTCTTGCAAGGCAGGCTAGTTCCACTTGGAGTCTAGTTTCTGCTGTTTTCTAATGCCGCTCAGAAGCAGAACTGTTCTGTTCTCTTAGCCTGTACTGAAAAGGTATTACATCACAGAAAAATCGGCATCCCAAGATGAGTGCAGCTCATCTTATGGATGAGCACACAGCAGGGAGAGGCCGAGGCTGCATTAGCTGAGCAAGAGGAAATGGCCCATGAAGATGCTCCAAGCATTATAAGCTTGTGCGCAATGCATCCTGGTACATGTAGGCACTGCAACTGCAAGCAGGGGGACTCAGCTGTCTCAGCCATTATAGCACGCACTGAGGAGTTCATTGCTTCAGTTGACTTCCCATCACATCAGCACCGATGGGATATCCACATAAAGGGTTCTTTTCTAAGGGATGGTAGCTGGGATTTCATGGATACCAAAGTCACATATCCATAGTTGTAACACGTGACTTAGATTAAAATCTGACTAAAGTGCCTAAGAAGAAATGCACCACTATTACTAAATGCCATAGAGCAGTTACGATCTCTTTATTTTACAAGCTGAAAAGCGAAATGTCTACTAACAAACAGTGTCATCTCTCTTTTAAACCCAGTCATCTAATAGAGTAAAGTTTCTTTGAAAAACAAGTGACTGTCTTGCACAATAAGAAGGTTATTACATACATACATTCACTGTCAACTAGGACAGACTTGATTTGACAACTCAGTGACATTTCAGTAGAAACGCTTGGGGAACAACACAAAATAGAAGCAATACAAATGTGTACGTTTTTGAATTTACGGTGGGCTACAGTATGAGATTGAAAAAGAAAAAGGAAAAACAAGCAGGACCTACTTGATGATCTGCTTGATCTGAGGTAATATGGAGGTCTCCAGCGTGACGTTGTGAGTGTTTAGCAGGTACAGCCTGAACTCATCGAAGAACATCTCGTTCCCCTCCTCGTAGCGCCCGTAGTTCTGGGAGTGTTCCATCTGGATGCAGTGGTTGGTCAGGTGGCTGGTCATGTCCTGCAGGTCGGAGCTGTTGTAAGGCTCCGAGGACGTCCGCAGCACGCCCTCCCGGTATAGATAGATGTTGTACTGATGGTCAACTAGCACCCAGCTCCTAGCAATAGCACAACATAACAGCTATTAGTGAGAAAGCCCAGCCAGACTAGCATATTATCAGTGGGTTAGTTAGTAGACCTACCTTAGATAGTAGACCTACCTGATGTCAAACTTCCGATTTCCCGGCTGCAGAAGCAGAGGCTTCTCCAGGTACTTCTGAATAACATGAACCTGTCCCTGATTATCAATGTACTCCAGCAACTGACTAGCATCAGTGGAAATTAAAATACCAGCACCTATGGCAATACAAAAAAGAAGTTGTCATTGATGATATTTTACACAATTTTAAACTTTGAACAGTATTGTCCCCAACAAGGAGGATTTATTAACAGAAAATGTATGGTTGCCTTTTTTAATGCTGAATGGCATATTTCCAGGAAACTTGTTAAAATCTCTGGTGGAATTATTGTATGAAGTTGTGAAGAAACTCAGTTCGACAGATATGTCAATTAAAAGTATCTAATCGTATGAGTATTATTCCTAGGAAAAAGGCTCTTCCAAATACCTCTGAAAAAGTATGTTATCCATTTGATCCTCTTTGATATTATTTTAAAAAGACACTGAAGAAAAAAGTCTTTCTAGGGTTTACTATTAACAACAAATGTATAAACATGGATTAAGGTTTTACCTTTAGCTCCAGAAGAAGACTTGGCTATCCACACTGTGCCCTCCCCACTTTCTTTTTTAGAGTGATAGGACGCCAAGAAAACTTCCCGCTCATCCGTTTTGGGATTGCTCTTCAGGTGGCTGATGCCATTGGTAGCTGGAGCCACAGGGGTTTTGAAGTTAGTGGGATAGATGATGTAGGATTCTGGGAACCAGCTAGAGGAGTCTGACAGCTCTGGGCTCGTCTTTATAAGCCTAATGGTAAAGAGAGGAAGTGGTCAGTTAATGCAACCCCATTTTAATAATTAATTTGCACAAAAGTACATTAATGAATTAGAAAAATGCATATACTGACTTGACTAAGGATGCCTTCCTGCAAAGCTTGTCTGCTCCCCTGTAGTAATTGACCAGCTGCACCAGGCCTGGTTCATGACCTGTGAAGTCCAAGACAGGATACTTTAAAATGCATTAAAAATACTCGTGTGTCTTTGACTGCACATCACAACATTCCCACAGGAAGCTGGAGCAGGAAGTGCCGCACAGTCACAGCAGCTGTGTCATCTGCAGCTGTGGGTGGACACCAAATATAGCACACAAATGTCACGATCATATGAAATAAGAAAAAAAGCATATTTACCCAGACGTCCAAAAGGCAGTCTGTTGCGTTCACCAAGCATCAAGTTGAATCTGGGATTGTCTCTTTTCAGCCTCTTCCATTGTCCGGAAGAGAGGAGGATTTTGGAAACTTCTGCATACACAGTGCTGTTCTCGTCACGGGTAACAAACGTATACATGGTGGTATTTATAATGCCACGCTGAAGGGAAGTAACTACTAAAAACGATTGAATGTGTAAATAACTTAGCTGGGTGGCTAGTTGTGATGCTGTCTGTTTGGCACTGCAGCAGACAGACTGTTCGGGGTTATCTCCTCTGTCCGTGCCATGACGATGAGTCAGTCATATCCAGTCCACTCTTCCCAGTTAACTCACAATATTGTTCCGAAGCCCCCGCAGACGAAGCCTGAGGCTAATGATAAGTATAAAACATCGTCACATGTGATGGAGAGTAGTTTGAGGTTACTGCGCAGACAGGGCTCCTCACCCCAGACCAGGGTGTGACTGACTGCTGCTTGCGGCTCCTGGGGCTGGTCCCGTCTGGATTAATTAAGATCCCGTCTCCGGTTTAGCTTTAGCTAACGGACTGCGACTGCTATGAACAGCTATCCAGGAAACGTTTCCCGTACCCCTTCTCAAAGACAAAGGCCTTTATAATAAATAGTGCAAAACATGAACTTATTACATAGTTAGTTTCACAATATCACAAACGCAGCATATTACTCCCACCATGGATGTAAGAAGACAACGGCGGCGTTTTCACTGAAGCTTAGAAGTCGCTGTCATCCGCTGTCGATAGCATAAACAAAAAGCTGCCCGGTTGTGGTAGGTGTAGTTTACGAGTGCAATTATATCAAGACTCATTCATATGTATTTACTTATTATGTAAGAAAAAAAGTTAATTAACACAGTGTGCTAAAAATTGTGCGTAAAATTCTGATTTCTTCAAAATAATGAAAGTCGGATTTTATTGTCCAACTGATTTTCAACAAAGCCGGTACTACATTTCCCAGAATGCAGGACGATAAAGCGACGATATTATCATTATTGCATTTATTTAGCGTGTTATGGCCACACGATGGCATTGTAGACCTCTAAACATTTTTATTGCGGTCGGTACCTCCTGTTGAAACTACAGTCCGGATAAAATAAGTTTCAAAACTTCCAGAGAAGGATTAGAACTCTTGGTAAGACTGTCTCCTTGTTTATTGTGTTTGTCACGAGTCAAAACGCTTTATGTGGTGCTTGGTAGAGCGGCATAGTAACACTAAACGGATCCTACCCACTCTCTGGGAGAACCTGGGGGATAAATTGAGCACTCCTAGTTGTGACAAGTTATGGGCCCCGTTCCGATATTTTCAAATGAGGTATTTGCTTAAACTTAGCTGTTTATATTCTCATAGTTTCACCATAAGTCGACGCTTTTCAATGTAATAACTATAAGCGTTTGTTTAATTTGGACTAGTTTTAGAATTTAGGCAAGAGCGATGCTGAAAGAATAGTTTAGGTTCTCCAAGAACGAATTGGAACGAAACAGGAAGTCGTACTGATGAGTAAGCAACTGGTGGCGCGAAAAACTAAATTGCAGTTAAGGTACAACAGCTTTCAGCACGTTTACATGATTATACACCTTTTGTTTGTATTATTACACCCACTTTTATCGTAATATCAGAAGATTTACAATTTAGTAAGTGTCGTCCTTCATTCCAATGTATTGTTTTATCGTGTGTATTTTCACTAAACGCTTGTATTCTGTGTATCAAAAGGACCCGTCTACACACTGTTTATAACTGCATGTCATCGGGGACTGCTACGTTTTTAACTTGTCATTTGAATGAATGCTATCATGAATTTAAATGATACTGCAGAAGCCTTGGTCAGTGAACGCATCTCCAGTACAGCTCGTTATACATACAGTCAATGGTAGAGCTGCATGTTTATACAATTAGATGTTTTGCGTAGCTGCATGTAGTCAAAGGGGCATTCCACCAATTTGACCTATTCTAATGAACTATTTAAGGTTAGTAAAAAAAACAAAAACCTTTTTGTTTATAGGTTAGCTGAGCTTGGTTATGGAGATCAAGCATGCTTAAAACAGGGGGGGTGGGGTCAGGCAGGATCTGTACCTTGGCTTTTACTGAGGTCATATATTTTTAATAACTTTTGTCCCCTCTCCTTCATCAGACTGGAGCAGGCCAGGCATGAGTGGAGCACACCTTGACGAATGGCAGAGGAGGTCCTTTGACATTTCATCTGGCAACTGTACACCTGAACAGACGGCCGATGCCTACCGGGCCCACATCCTCTCCATTCAGTATGCATGGGCAAGCTCCCAGCTCTCTCAGGCCGGCATGGACAGCCTGCTCAGGACCTACTCGGAGCGCTACGCTGCAGTGCTGGACTCAGATGACCCCCGCACAGGGCTGAACAACTATGCAGACAGCGCTCTGCACCTGGCTCGCAGTCAGAGGAACCACAGTGGCAAATGGGAGTCGTTCCTCACCATGGAGAGTGTGCTGGAGCTGCCCTGCGTGCAGCGGATGATTCAGGCAGGGAAAGGTGGAGGGGGCTCCCTGGTGGCAGCAGGAGATGTTAACATATCTGTGGGGCAAGAGAGCAGAGGCAGCTCCCTACCTGCTGCTTTTACTGGGGACCGCTCAGACACTGCATTGTTCAAACCTACAGTTCCACCCCAGCCTAAAGCAGAGGTTATCACCAGTGCCAGTAATCCAAACTCATTCTCCCATCCTCCAGCTCAACCACAGTCTGTGTTTACTCACCCTTCCTCAGCTCTTCCCCAGGGAAACCCTGGCCCTGCAGGGGGAACACAAAACTCTCAGTCCTCCTACTTACCCAACTCCAACACATCTAAGCGGAAGAACTTTTACAACACAGACAGAGGGGATGGTGGCAGGGGTCAGCAGGGAGGTCAAGCAGGCAGTGACCCGCGAGCTGGAAGCAACTTTAAAACGGCTCGCGAGCAGTTCATTGTTGAGCAACAGAAAAAACACTCCAACCAGGCGCGGACTGGTCAGGCCTCCTGGCCGGCAGCAGCTGTGAAGAAATCTCTAGGAGCCAACAGGCCGCGGGGTACATTTTCCAAATTTGTGTCACCCATTCCCCGACAGGAGGAGGAGGAAGAAGGAGGGCCAAACGGTAATTCCAATCAGGAACCTCAGATCGTGGACGAGCGTCTGAAAAACTTTGAGCCGAAGATAATTGAGCTGATCATGAGTGAGATCATGGACCACGGGCCTCCTGTCGCCTGGGAGGACATCGCAGGCCTGGAGTTCGCCAAGACCACCATAAAGGAGATTGTAGTTTGGCCCATGCTGCGACCTGACATCTTCACTGGTCTCCGGGGTCCACCTAAAGGCATCCTCCTGTTCGGACCCCCGGGGACTGGAAAAACTCTGATAGGGAAATGCATAGCCTGCCAGTCAGGGGCCACCTTCTTTAGCATCAGCGCTTCATCGCTCACATCCAAGTGGGTGGGTGAGGGAGAGAAAATGGTGCGAGCCCTCTTTTCCATCGCCCGCTGCCACCAGCCTGCTGTCATCTTCATCGATGAGATCGACTCGCTGTTGTCCCAGCGGACGGACGGGGAGCATGACTCCTCACGCAGGATAAAAACAGAGTTCCTGGTTCAGCTGGACGGAGCAACGACGTCAGCCGAGGATCGCATCCTGGTGGTGGGCGCCACCAACCGGCCTCAAGAGATAGACGAGGCTGCCCGGAGACGCCTGGCCAAGAGGTTATACATCCCCCTGCCCGAGGGAACGGCCCGGCGGCAGATCATCACTAACCTCATGACCCAAGAGAAGAACCAGCTGGGGGAGCCGGAGCTAGACAGCGTGGTTGCTGCCACAGAGGGCTTCTCAGGGGCCGACATGACGCAGCTCTGCAGAGAGGCGGCGCTCGGGCCCATCCGCAGCATCCAACTCAGTGACATCACCACCATCACTGCAGACCAGGTGAGACCCATCCAATACAGAGACTTCCAGGACGCCCTGCAGACCGTACGGCCCAGTGTCTCATCAAAAGACTTGGAGCTGTATGAGGAGTGGAACAAGACCTTCGGATGTGGACGTTGAGCGTGGCTGCTTATCCTGATTGTTGTTCAAATTGTGGATTTGATTTTGAACTGAGTTTTTGATTTCAGCTCTGGAGGAATCCATACAAAAGCACAAATTGGGCAGAGATAATAGCATGTGCACTTTGTGAAATTGTTGTTAATCCTATTGAGGGCAAAAATGTTTGGCAATAGTGTAGTCTCAAATAAGGTATAGATTCTTAAAAGCATCACAAAGATTGTTATTTTAATGCAGGGATTTCTGTCAAGTTGCATTACATTGAGGTTAGTATGTCCAAAAATTCCTTTTAATTGAATTAATATTTTTCCCACCATCCCGATGTTTTGCGAACCATTTAATGTTCGTTCCTACCAAAACGCTGTTGCAAAACAAATCCAGTTATCAGTGCTCTTAGTGCTGATGGGATGAGAGACTTTTCTGTATGAAGAAATCGCTCTTCAATTGATCCCAGCTGTTTGTTACTGCATTATCCTCTGGTTTGTTTGGATATTTATTTCACTGTTGCTGTGTGATTTGCTGAAGGCATTAAGATATATTGTATTAGTATCATTTTTGTAATGCTGTGAGGATAAACATTCAACATGTTTAATAACCATCCCAATAGATATTCTCACCTCTCATATACTGCGCTTCATGACTGAATTATTTTGAGTTTGATTCTTAATTGAATTGCCAAATTTGTATTTTTTTCCTAATAAATAAAAATGTTGCCATCCTATACACCTTTGTCCATGTCGGAGAATTGAAACATATAAATATTAAGTTTCCAATACTTTGTTGCATCTCAGCACTTGATCTACTTCCCTTCTAATCTGAGTTTTATTCACACATCTCTTATATTTTGTTTCATTCTGTGGTTTTCCTGATGTGCTAATCATATCCACAGAAGTTGTGCAAGAGAGTATCCTAAGTTTAAAAACAAACCTGAAAGCTTGACTCCCTTCCTGTTGGTGATTCAGACAGCAGTGGACTCAGCAGGAACATCTGTCACTGCAATACGGCCTTTTTTAGAGGATAAACAGCAATCCACATGCTGATGTAGATGTTTATATTTTTAACTGTGTCCAGTTAATTATCTCATCGTTAATAATAAGTGGTCAACAGATTTTCTTATCCTTTTTAAGTTGAATGCCTCACTGGTCATGCACTGTGATATCGAGCAGGAACATTATAGATTGGGCACACATCAAATTAAATTCTCATGTAAATTTCATGAAACAATCTTTGAAAATCTGGAAGACCATGAAAAACTTTTTCATCTTTTTGTCAAGTCGCTGATAAATATTTCAGACGTGTGTTTGGCCACTCTATGGAAACTTTGTTGAATAAGCCAGCAGCGAAAGACGACACACACACACACACACACACACACACACACACACACACACACACACACACACACCCACCCCTTGGGCGTCTCTTAACAGGGGGACGGCCCACAGCTGGACCGGGACAGATGCACAGAATTCCTCTGGTGCTGCTGGGATCCACAGAGCACGGCTGAAGACTGGCCATATGGTGGATGCTTGTTTCTCACTTTGACTGGCTGTGAGGCAGTGGTCACAAACATCACACAATATGTTTATGAGAACCGGAGGTATGAACTTTTATCATGTTTGTTTTTCAAAATTGTAACTTTTTATATTGCCTGTTTTGATATCGTATTATTTAGTCTTTTTCAGGCATAGAATCTGATGGAAAAGGCATTCAGAAACAATGTAAAAGAGAGTATTACAAAAAAAACATCTGTTTCTGGAATTTTACCAAGCAGTATTATTCAGAAAAACAATATTTAAAGTTATAGCCATCCCTTAACATTTCCATGACTTTTTAGTATTATTTGAAAAAATTCTAGCAATAAAAAGTCATAAATAACTATTAAAAAAATGCACACAATGTGCGGTGGTCTATTGGCAACTTTTACTGTAAGACTAAACATGGATCCATAGGAAACAAAGCAACATGCAATCCAGTGTTACAAACACAGCACACTAGTGGTGTGCAGCAAGATATCAGGGAGCGTTCACAATTTTTTATTTCACATTTATTATCAAACCAACATGAGTTTGTTTGGCTTTACTATAAGTTTGCCCCTTATCTTTTCGGCTTTTTGGCTCATAAGATACTTTTACCCTTTGGGCCTCAAACAGTTCAAATGAAACCATGTGACACGCACAGAGGGGACATGTTTGTTGGAACTGCTCAGAGACATCTGAAACGAGAGAGGCCTTATGCACACACTGCTTCTTTTGGAAGTGGTCAAATGACGGTTACTAAGTAATTTAACTCAAGAACTGTACTTAAGTTCAATATTAAGGTACTTTACTTAAGTATTTACATTTCTTTCTACTAACTCACTACAATTCAGAGGTAAATATTGAACCTCTTACTGAATTACATTTTTTAATTACTTTGTTTACCATGAAAGTTCAATTTGATAATAGAAATATAATCATCAAATAAGTTAAACTTTAATATAGGTTATTGTAAATGTCTCTTATCCTTTGGTGAAGAATATCATATTTGAGTGATTATGATTATTATATATCTGATATCTCAACTTTGTTTTATTGATACTTTAACTACATTTGATTTATTATACTTTTGTTTTAATTGAGTAATAACTTAAATGCAGGACATTTACTTGAGACAGTATTACGATTCTGTGATCAAACTTCAATACTTCAAATATTTACAGAAACATACCAGTAACTAGCTGTTTATAGATGTAGAGGAGTAATGACATTAATTATCTATGAAATGTAGTGGAGCAGTATAAATACTTCAGTCAAATACAAGTATTACAGAGTTGTGCTTGAGTACAGCTGTTGAGGGTATTCAATTACTTTCCACCACTGGGTAAAACACTATACCTAATGCACACAGTTTGCCTCATATTGTAGAAACGGTGTGACCAAATTCACAAAGTAGGCGATGTAGCGTATTCTAGCCTTTTATTATTAGGGCACGTTCTTTAGAGGGTGAACAACTTTCTTGTTGGATCCTGTTGACAGCACATTTGGAAAGTGTGATTCTTGATGGAGTATTTCCGTCAGTCAGCTGGCTGAAAGGGGAAGTGAGATTTGGGATCCTGGCAGGGCCCGAGTTGGTTGGCCAGATTATCCCTCTCATGCAAATGGCCCCCCACCTCCTCTTTTGGGTCCCAGTCAAGCGTGGGGGGCTCAGCGCTGGCCACAGCTGCTTCCCGTTTCTGCTAAATCACACAGCAGCCATCTGGACGGGGCTGCGCCGCTCACCACGCCGAGCTCCTCCTGCGGCCCCGGCCCAGCCTCTGCAGGCCGGCCTGGCCCTCAGAGCCCCGGCCCCTGCCTTCTGCTCCAGTGCCTGATCCTCTCCGTCCCAGCTCTCCTCAGAGGACACACACTTCAGGTCCTGGACACACGGCACATGTCCACATGCTGGTGTGTGTCTGTGCGTGTGCGGCTTATGCTACCAGTACTCCCCTGATGGCACAGTTTAACACGAGGGTCCCTGAGCACACAAACACCTTAAGGTTTCAGCCATGTGTTGTTTGTCTGTTTGCCATCCTTGAATTATAAGATTATATAGTCTGAATTTAGGATTTATAACTGCAAACACGCTAGACAAAATATAAATATTTGACAGAAATAAGATCCTTTTGCGAATAGGTTGTATGTGATGGGGTGTTTATTTATTCACCTCTTGCTACATTTTTCCTTTTTGTTGACTGAAATGCGAGTCAATCACTCTTACTTGGCTCATCATAGACTGGTAGGAGTGAGCAGAATCTTGAATGACATCTGAACTTTATTATTTCAGAAGGTTTAAGAGTGTGAAATTAAGTCTTCAGAGTTCTCTGAGAAACTTTTAATAACTCCAGGAATAGCTTTCAGTTTACTGTGGACATTTCCATATTATTTGACACTTGGTTAATACAGTCCAGAAAATTAAAAAAATTCCATTAAAGGGGCCCTATTAGGCCTTTTGGGGTTTTCCCTTTCCTTAGGTGTTTTATATAGTATAATAGTTTTTCTCCCACAACCACCCCCCCTGCCTGAAACGCCTCCATTGTACTACTTTGTTTACTTCTGCGACATAGTGACATCACTATGTAACACTCACGCTTCAATTGGCTAGCGCTCCGACTCATTGTTTGTGATTAAGAGGCGGGACATCTCCAAGTAGTTGACCAATCACAACAGAGCCAGCCAGCTAACCAATCAGAGCAGACTGGGCTCTGGTTTCAGACAGAGGGTGAAAAGAGGTGCTGCAGCACAGGCAGTATGAGAGAAATAAAGAGCTTTTTGAACATTAAAGCATGGAGACATGTCAGAGTAGAGACACACAATACAAATATGAAAATAAGCCTGATAGGGCCCCTTTAAAAACATATTTAAGAGTATTTAAGGCGATCCAAACCATGTAGCGAAGCAGTCGTTAGAAACGTCCTTGTGCTTTGTCCTGAAAACAAAAAAAACACATCCCCACTCTTAGTGCATATATAAAATATCCTTTATTGATATTTTGCAAGCATAAAGCTCCTTCAAACCTCAAATGACTCATTTACATATTGTGAGTGAAACATTTCTTAGCCATCATATACAAAACAAAACAGGGTAAAATTTTCTTCGGATAAAAGTCCAAATAAATTCCAGCAGCGGTCATGTTTTCACCTCAGTCACATTAAGTACAGTTGGACAGAAAGAGATGCAGCTTTTCTTAACTACTCTACAGACAAACACTGATCACTGCAATAAATACAAAAACAGACAGGCGTGTAAATGTGCTATAAATAATATGCAGGTTGTTACAATACAGGAACAGGTTGAGACTTTGAAATGTAACGTGGGGATATATACAATGATGGTTTTGTATTGGTTCATTTTTACACCTGTTTTAATTTAAAACATTTTTTATGGATTTAAAACTGCAGACCACTTCAGTAAACAGAGTTGTACTGAAAAAATGTTGCTGTCACAAGAAAAGACACATTTATACATAATAAACATGTGGCGACTGAAAATACATAATTTAAAAACCTATGCAGGATGTGTCCCCGCTATGTTGTCTTCACTGAACATTATTTTGTTTCTTTAAAAAAAACGACACAAGAAATTCCTTTTGAACACGGAAAAGGAAAAAAACATCTTATATTCTTACATTTATCTGTGTTCAACAAACATGCATACTTTGTATAAAAAAAACACCTTTCAGAACTCAACAGTGTATTTTACATTTTGTATTTCAGATCTGCATGCACTGAAAAAACTGCAACATTGACTTTAGTTAAACGTATTATATCAACGAATTACAGATAATTGCATTAGGTTAAATGAAAGCAATAATCTTAAATTGAACCTATTTAAACGTAATGTTATTGCTATTAACTAGCCTAATTGGATCATGTGTAATATGTTCTCATAATAGTCAACATTTCAGTTTTTCCATTGTGCAGCTGTTCGTCTGTGGATGTGTTCAGTAGCGGTGCTCCCCTCGCGTGATGTGTGAGGAGAACTCGTATCGGTCTTGGCTGCGGTGGCCGCACAGGTTGCACTCGAAGGGGTCTCTGAAGCCGTGGCAGCCCATGTGGATGGTGTACATGACGTGGTCCAGGAAGAGCACGCGGCAGTGTTCGCAGCGGTGGGCCCTCACCTGCTCCCCGTCTGACGTCACCACTTTGAAGCCCTCGGAGGCCATCTCCATGCTGGCGGCCCTGATGGCCTCGTACTGCCTTTGCATCTCATCCTTCACCAGCATGCCGTTCCTCCCCCCCGAGGTGATGTGGTTGGTGAGGTAGATGAGGCCCGAGGCGGCCCCCCCCGGGCGGTCCTCGTTGTTGCTCTCGGTGTCCGTGGAGTCCTGGCTGTGGCTGGGTGAGCCGTCCTTCTCGCTGGACGCTGATTTGGATTTGGAGAGGAGCAGCAGGTTCTCGGCGGCGCTGTCTTTGGCTGACAGGTTGTGACCGGCCCCCACGTGGCCCTCGGCCCCCGGCTTGTGGAGAGGGTACAGGGAGCCGAGGCCCACATCGGACGAGGAGGCAGGGGAGGTCTGCACCAGGGGCCGCAGCGACTCGGCCCCCAGGTAGCTGATGGCGCTGTTGATGGCCTGGTCGATGACATGGGGCTGGATCAGCTCGCCTGAACCCCCGTCGTAGGAGAGGTCCGACAGACGCTTGTCCCCTGAGGGCCAGGAAGAGAAAGGAGAACAGGGTGAGTTTTATAATTTACTTTTACTTCATCATCTGATACTGGGGATGCTCCTCTCTAGCTGAATTTGGAAATTACTCACTGTTATATATTTTTCTATTTTCATTCTAGCATTTCCCTAAACCTGTTCTGCTTCTCTCCCTCTTTTGTGATGAGGGTCTTAATTAAGGGTTCATAAACAGAAAACATTCTTATTCACAATTTTTATCAGGCTCAACAAAAAATAAATATAATTTATTTTCTGTTGCACAGTATGGCAAGGAAACATTTAAATATTGGGGTGTCATGAAATATCATTATTTGCAATTACCGTGATATTTAAACAATAACATCATTTTTAATAAAACACATATGATAATAACATCAAATAACCCAGTGACTCTTAAATCATTTTATATATACACAGTTATCATCACAGACTGTTTTCACCTTCATTTAATTTTTTTATATAATATATTTTCTTAAAAAAAAAAGACAAAATGCTAAATAAGATGAAGAAGATAAAGATGAACAGCCTTATTTTTGTATTTCTTTAAAACAAATAATAATAATAATAATCATATTTATATTGAAAATTACTTTGGCCATTATATTGTGTAGTGAAAATCCTTATGCAGAATTATGAACAGAAAACACATCTCTCATTGGTGCAGCAGTTACACACAGTATCCAGCAGAAGCAGCCATAGTACACAAAGGAAGCAGATTCAGCCCTTACCAACAAACTTCTGTGGCATAGTGCTCTTACGCTTAGCTACATTATTCGTTAGTCTGTCTAGCACCAAGGCTCTGTCAGATCCCATCTGGCTTAAGTCTTCCCTCTGCTCATTCTGGTTGCTTTCTTCCTTTACTACTGGAAAGCAAGACAGAGAAGCAGGTTTCAGTCAAAGTAATTTGAGTTTTTAAAAAGCGTGAACCTGATAACACATGATGGTATTTTGTGGTCTGATGATGTTTTTTTTTCACAGAGCACAGAGCGGACTATTCTGACACATGCGTAGCACTTGGCCTATAAATATACAGCGTACATGCTCACAGATGAGGTAAAGACGTGTTTCTAAGCTTCAATGCAGAGGGTAACATCCCCCTTTGCATTCAATATCTGCTTAATGGACACATAGAGAACTTAATGCAGACATTACTCCGTTATCTTAAGTATCTGCAGTCACTTTAAGTAGATTACAAACGTTATGATCTTATATTCAGATGAAAACGACAGTTATTTGACCTGTAGGAGCATTTAGTAACAGCTTCATGGTGCACTGCTGTTGCATGCATAGCGAGTCTTGCACTAAGGGTAAAGTAGGCCATCAGATTTGGGTGAAAGTGAAGTGTGTGTGTGTGTGTGTGTGTGTGTGTGTGTGTGTGTGTGTGTGTGTGTGTGTGTGTGTGTGTGTGTGTGTGTGTGTGTGTGTGTGTGTCTAGGGAGGCACCAACCTGTGTAGATGCTGTTCTGCAGCCCCATGCACTGCAGGTAGTTGTGACACCTCTCCTTGTGCTCTTCCAGAGAGCTCCGCTGCTTATAGCTCCGCCCACAGTAAGCACACTTGTGGGGTTTTCCAACTGCGGAAAATGTAATTGTGAATTCAATGAAATACATTTTGGTGTAGATTCAGCATACATTCAATCTACTATTAAATTCCCCTTTTGGTTGCGAGAAAATATAGGAAGTGATGGATTTTACATTGCCAAATTTATTGGAATAAATAGAACAGGACACAGCACGCCCAGTTGCCCACATGGTTTGATTGACACGTGATCTTTGGGAAGTCCAGAGCAAAATCGTCCCAAATACATAATATCACATTTCTTGGTAAAGCATGGGCACGGCTGTAACTAATACTGAAGTCACTGATGTCATGTCCTCTGGGTTTTTAGGGGGACATTTTGGGAAGCTACTTTGGGGAAGTTTTCCTTTTCCTTTTCTTACTCAGAGCGGGTATTTTATTAGCTGATTCCAGTGTATTCTTAATTGAAGTTTTTACGCCTACAAAATACAAAATATAAGGGATTGACTGTTTCCACCAGAGGTTTATTCCTGGTATTGTAAAGAAGACTTTTAAACTAAATATGAATACAAAGTTGTGAAATATTGTCTATTGAAACGCTAAATGAACAGTCAAATAATCAAATTTCTTTTTTGATATAACAAATAGTACAAAAAAACAACCTTACAGTATCTGACCAGAAATTGAGTGGGACAAATGGGGTGACTTGGCTTGGTAACATATTAATTATTGCAATGAACCTGAAGAATGTAAATGTACTTTATGTATGGTGTATAGTCAATCCCGAAGTGGGTATGCTGCTAAAAAAACATCCACTAATCCATATTAATCCACTGCTGCAAGTAGTCCCCTACAAATTTACTATTTACTCCAGTTTGAGCAATATCTGCCAAAAAACGACCATGCCCTGCATTTTTAGGGAAACTGTTAAGCCTTTTTAAAAAAAAAAAATGGTATTCTATTTTTGCGACCTGTTAATAAGACGTTTAGATGTCCGTTAGTAGGAATGAATGTGGTTGGGGCTGAGTGTCAAAAACCAACTAGGGAAGTTGAAAAGCAGTGCAAGACAGACCAACACACTGCTGCCTTTCATGGTATTTATAGAGAGTACAACAAAAACATACATTTTTACATGGATAACCCACCACTGTGATCATAGCTCACTTTATTTGTCTCACTTCATTTGTCAGTTAAAGTAGTTTAGCAGGTTATCCCTTCCCCGTTCTCTTTAGTGAATGCTTTGTGAGTGTACTGTTTACACCCAAACATTTCATTAACACATACTTCTGCAAAACATTTGCAAAAAAAAGTGACACCATATCTAAACCGTGTCAACTTCCCCTTTATACGAGCTCTCACTGTATGCACTGCAGAACATGTCCTGCCTTTTGTAAAAGACACTCTGCGTTCCTAGAACTACCACGAGGGTTTGATGCGTCTGTGTGGCGTTTGCATGCTCACCAGAGTGGGTGCGTAGATGTCCGCTGAGGGCGTCCCTCCTGCGGCAGGCGTAGCTGCACATGTGACACTTGAAGGGTTTCTCCCCTGAGTGAAGCTTGATGTGACGCAGCAGGTTGCCCTTCTGGGTGAAAGAGGCCCCGCACTGGCTGCACTGGAACGGACGCTCTCCTGAGGACAAGAACACAACAGACCCACATTACTGTAAAGAGGCAGAAAAACACACAGAAAAAAGCATCTTGTATGTTTTACTGGCACCCAATTGTGTTTTAATGTACCCTACCAGGCAGTTCATGATTGCACCCCTCTCCCTAACCTCACTATGATTGATCCCTCCACTGACAACAATAAGTCTTCTCTATGTGGGGGAGAAAGCATGTTGCTGCTGTAGGAATACGGGGTCACTGCACTACAAGCATCCCGGGCGCAGAACAAGCGGGACGATGGAGCGTCTCCGGGGCGATCCAACAGCCTGCAGAGTGACACTCTCTCTCTCTCTCTCTCTCCGTACTCCCCCTGCCCCACCGACTCCTGGCACTCTGATCGAACAAGAGCCTTTCAGACTCAGCCTGCCAGTTCCGTAATGCACCATTGCCTAGGTCAATTTGATCTGAAAATCTCATTTTTTCCTCTTCTTCGTCTCTAAAATAAGAGCGGCACATCACAATGCAAATTCAGCCTCATTTGAATAAAGCGGAGGAAACACTTTGTGTTGAGAGCCAGTCTTCCTGATCAGCGCTTCTGGAATAAACCAATATCCAGCCTCCCTGAGTGTTGTGGCATTCTGTGAGAACGTTTTAATATGCCTTTTTTTTCAAAGGCCCCCCATAAAATAAGAGTCACCAGTGAAGCAGCAAAAATATATAAAAAGGGAGATTCATTAAAAATGCATTTCAGGAGCAAAGACTCACCACAGAATATTTTCTATTTAAATAGGAGGCACTTCATTATATCTTTTACTTTCTTTTGCATTTACATTAGTCTAGTGTTCCTTTCTTCCATTTTGAGTTTCATTAGTTTCTGAAGCTTGACAGTTAAGTGCCTTTTTCAAAAATGTTCCCCACCACTGATTTGGCTTCATTACAATAGAATATCAATTTGGAAATTTGAAAAACTTTTAATAGCCAGATAATTGTCACTTCAAAGAGATTCCATTTAATTGCTGCAGATATCCTGTTTTTCAACTGAGGGCATGTTTTTTTTATCGGACCGGGTTTTATCACCCAATAATTCGATCAGTTAATGTTTCTTGTCATGTGGTAATTCAGAGTCATTTAGATGAACAATAATGAATGCTAATGGTGTTCTCAGAGTCAATTTCACGCACGATAGGAGGGTTTACATGCACACAGCCAAACGCAAGGATGCCATTACAACTACCACCTCTACTCTACTTCAAGCTTAATTCTTGCCATTTCAAATCTAAATAAATGCTCTAAATATGGGCGGGAGCCACAGCAGACACCTTTCTACCCCTCATCCATCCTCTCTAACAGTGAACATGGGTGCAAAGGAAGGGTAAGAAGTATTGCAGGTGGCTTACCGGTGTGGCTCCGCTTGTGCACCATCAACACATTGGGCCCAATGCAAACTATCCCACAGATATCGCACTTGAGCTTCCCGTTGGGCAGCCGGATACCACCGGCCGAGGAGAAGGCCTTGGCTTCGGGGCTCGGCTGAGAGCCGTTCACCTTGGCCCCCGAGGCATCGATCACGCGCAAGTCTTCCGCGCACTCCTCATCCTCCTCCACGCCATTCATGTCACAGGACAGCCCATTCTCCTCATCACTGCGAGCCTCAACTTTAATGTTACAGGCTGGAAAAGAGGGCAAGGGGGGTGGGGGGGGGCCACGGTTTAGAATACGAGCATGGTTCTTTCATGATGTTATATACTAAAGATGGGCAATTATCAGTGTGATATTGATACTGTGACATGAGAGTAGATAGAGCTGCTTATTGTAACATTGTGATGAAGCCTTGAAGTTGCCTTTGCCTGGTTTGAAAGGCTACATAATAGGAAGGAGAAACTATCTTGTAAGACCTATTTGACTGTCCTTACTGAATGAATGAAGGTTTCTAAAAGATGTGTGGAGTCATTTTTCTTTCTCTGAATAAGGCACATCCTATTATGTGGTTTTCCTACAGGGGAAAAAACAAACTTGCTCATTTTCCAAAGACATTGTTAATTTACTCAAAGTATGAAACTCTTGTGCAGCCATGAAACCAAAATCTACTATGTCCTGGCTTTATCCTTGGTTGAGCTAGACACTATGTAATAGCACTGCAACTGCACCATAATATACCTAGGGCAAAAACGGTTTTGCAATGGCAAACCTGCATTAGTGCACAATGCAACATCTTCATGTTAACAAGGATGCTGCAACAACACTTCAAAAAGTCCCCCTCTTACTTCAGGGCTCTTTGTGAATTCAGCCTGAGAAAAATCACCAAACATCAGATAAGATCCATCTGCGCTCACTCATCTACATTGTAGACTATACTAATGCTTTATTTCAAAGCAGCATGCTATAAATCCCAAGGATACAAAGGTGGAAAACAGGCTCACTGTTTAAGGATGTCAGTGATGAAGAACCATAAAGATCATCTCACACATTCACACTTTGATGAAACAAATGACAGCATGATAAACAGGAAACAGAGACACAGGAAGCAGTGTGAAACTAGGGACGACAGCGGTGTCTATCAGAGCAATGTGAGCACTCACACGCATACGACAAACACGTATTTGGCCTTTTCACTATTCAGAGGGGGTACTGTGTAATACAAAGAACAGAGAATATTATTTATGCTACACTACCATATGCACTGTTGTTCCCAAAGAGATCAGAAAAGAGAACTGAACTACCGGCTGCTTCTTTTCCCACCAGAGAACTTTAGACACATTCAAGAGAACGGACAGATCTTGCAAGTCCCACAGCTAACAGCCTGTGGTTTGCATGTCACCGTGGCAGCCCGATTTCCCCATGCCTCTACCTCTGTTTGTACAACTGAAGAGGAAGAAGTGGAAATCATGAAATATAGGAATCTATGGAAAAGGGGAAGCTCAGAAAGAGGGCCTGTCTAACTGAAATACCAAGAATTATGGAGAAGTGACAGAAAGGGAAGCACAGGAAAGGAATTGTATAACAGTCTGTAACTGAAACATGGTTGTTGTTTGTTTTTTTGTCTCATTTTCACCGAGAGCCAACAAGGGAACATAAATCCCCGAATGTACAAAATGTTTCCCAAAGAGAGCGAGAGGTGGAGCAAAATGTGAGAACTTGCAGCGTAGGATCATGATATGTTTATGATCGCTATTCCGATCAAAGTCAAATAATCTGATCGTCCGTCTCCACTTTCTTTTTTTTATTTGCAGTTGCATGACTAACAATCTGCTTATCTGTTCGACTGTTGACATTTTTAGGACAAATTCTCTAGTATATTTTGCCAAGAAGATGAGATAAGTGAGACACCAGCCGTATCCGCAAAGGAAAGGCTTTAATGTTAATAAAAAAGATGCTAAAGTTCTTATGAAGTTCAAAAGCTGACAATGGGTTATGCTACAGAACTGTTACCAAACATACTACATGTGCTTCTAAAATGTGATTACTATTCAGAAGACAAAAGACAAAACTCTGAAACTGATATTGCCATGATGCTCAGTTTTACACCTAGAACCAAGTCAGTTAAGCAGATAAATATATATTATTTTACCCTGCCGTTTAATTGAACGATTCTCAAATTATTTGAAGCAAATTGAACGGTTTAAACATAATTTGGGCTATCACCTATATTTATGAATTACTCGCCACCTTTTACAGTATATATTATGTTAACTATTTCAACTTTGCATCCATAACTTCAGGCTTACAATTTCAACCATGTGTTTATACCTTTTAGCTAAGCATTTAAACAGTGTAACCACCCATTCGTTTTGGCTGACAATTTTATCTGTGAATACTAAATTACTTGATGCTAAATATTTGTACGCTTTCTCATCATTACTTTTAGCTAACTATTTCAACAGTGTATCATTACATTACGCTAACTATTTCAACAATGTATCATTACTTTTAGCTAACTATTTCAACAGTGTATCATTACATTAAGCTAACTATTTCAACAGTGTATCATTACTTTAAGCTAACTATTTCAACAGTGTATCATTACTTTAAGCTAACTATTTCAACAGTGTATCATTACTTTAAGCTAACTATTTCAACAGTGCATCATTACTTTAAGCTAACTATCTCAACAGTGTATCATTACTTTAAGCTAACTATTTCAACAGTGTATCATTACTTTAAGCTAACTATTTCAACAGTGCATCATTACTTTAAGCTAACTATCTCAACAGTGTATCATTACTTTAAGCTAACTATTTCAACAGCGTATCATTACTTTAAGCTAACTATTTAAACTGTGTATCATTGCTTTCAATCGTGTGTCCTTTATACAGTATATGGGTATGTCCATACCATTTAGCTATAGCTATCAACAGTGTATCAATAATTCTTGCGAACAATTTCCACTTTTTATCCGCGACTTTTAGCTAATATCTAAACAGTGTGTCAATTACTTTAACCTTACTATTTAAAATATATGTTCATCACTTTACCAAACTATCCATTACTATAATATACATTTTAAGCATTTATCAATTAATTTAAGCTAGGTTTTTCAACATTTTGCACCTGTGACATGTAGCATACTAGCCGTTTGAATTGATGAAATAATTAGCACCTGCACGATGCAGTCAGTCTTCAGTTTTGGAGACTTTGCATGTAGTAAACCATGCATTTCTCACTTCAGGCAAGCACTTTAATGGTGATGTAAGGAGGTATTTTTTTTCAGTAAGTAGGGGATTTGCTTTGTTACATTATGTATAACAGAACTTGAAAGCAAAACTATAAACGGCTCAACCACGTTAATTCTCTTCATTTATTTTGTGGTTTTAGCCACATCACCTCTGGTTGGCACAGTTTTATGAGTAACCAAATGTTTTACTAGTGTCAACAGGGAGTTCTTAATATAAAAAGGCTTTATGTGACTATTGTATGGTTCAGAATATATATTCCATAGCGATTTCTTTGCACATGGAAAGGTACTGATCTAGGAATAACAACAAAAAAAGAAACCGTACATAAGGTATTATTTGACTTATTGGAATTGTTGGAACAATGCACAAACAAGTCTTTATGTTTATCTGTGGATGTCAGTTCCTGAGACATATAATACACCAGCTAAACTCTCAGGTTATCATCCAGCTGAAGCAGACATTAGGGAACCATGAACACAGGGCTGCCACTCACTTCTCATGGATATGGGGAAGTTGTGACTGAATTGGGAATAGGAAGAAGGCTTTTTACTTTTTATCTTGTTTGTCACGGTCACACATCCTGATTTGCTCGTTTTGGGAAGCAAGGGCCAGACAAAAAAAACAGGTCGCAATAAAAATAATTATAGCCTGATGTGGATCTAATGCGCAGAACTAAAACATTGACTTGAGAAAAAGAAACTGACATATATAAAAAAGGTATAATAGTGGAGTCAAATATGCTTTACAAATATATAAAACTATATAGACTTGAGAGTGGATAGCAGAAGCAACTTAGCAAGCGTGTTAGTGCTGCAGCTTGGAAAGCCTGCTTGAGGTTCCTGTTACTCACTGGTGCTGCTCTCACTGCCTGAAAATAACCCTTTGTGCAAAGTAGTGGAACCACATGTGTTAAACCACGCCAGCAACACTCTTAGCAACGCGATTTGCAGGAACACCAGAAACTGCCTGCTTTTTCCCCCTCACACTTTCTCGCCTCCATGTTTTCGGGAACTAAACAGCTCAGTCTCCCTCTTAGTCTCATGTACCTGAAATAGCAAAGGCTCCGTATGAATCACCAAAACTGAAAGAGAATTTTCTTGAGACGGAGATCTTGATCCCTTGTGATTAAATATGTCTGAGGCGACACAATACACTTCAGTTCATTACAGTTTTTTTTTAGCAATTCTCAATATGATATGGACTACCTATTTTGACCTATTTACCTTCCTCGTGCTGGGGTCATATCTGTGTGGATTGCAGCAATGTGAATGCGCAGCAACAGTGTCGATCCTGGGCTGTAAAGACTTATTTGCAACAGGAAGCAACCTGGGTTTTGAGGTTTTAAGCTTTCGATACTTTGAGGTCCTTTGTCCCACATATAGTCCACTTGCTTTTTTGTCTTTTTTTTCTTGACTACAGAGAACTGAGCAGCACATGATCCTGGCTGATAATTATAACTCATTTGGGCTTTATCGCAGAGGCAGTCATGCGAATATTTAACAGATACTTGCACTTCCCTTCTTTTACGCTGTCGCTATATAGACTCGCACACACTTATGTGAAGTGTTCCTACTGTCATAGGGAATGAACAGAAACTCACATATGGGACATAAAGCCATGCAAACTCACCGCCAGCTGTGCCCTTTACTCTCTTTGTGCCTCATGAAAGTCAGACGTTCAAATCATCTGCTTTTTGACTATTTCCCTTTTTCGACAGATTGTAATAAACGTTGACTGAGATGAGATGTACACAGTCACATAAAACAAGGCGATACAAACGGCACAGAAGATTCCTGCTTGTGCTCAGCTCAGCGCCTCACAGATCAACAGTTCTCAAGTCAAATAGAGAAACCCTTTGTGAGTAGGTGTGTGTGTGTGTGTGTGTGTGTGTGTGTGTGTGTGTGTGTGTGTGTGTGTGTGTGTGTGTGTGTGTGTGTGTGTGTGTGTGTGTGTGTGTGCAGGTGTGTGACCCGTGTGGTGTAGTGATGCGCTGATCGCTCTGAGCTCGGCCCTGTTCCTGAACTCTTTATCTCCATGAGTGTTGAAACTGTCTGATGGCAAGTTCTTCTTTGGAAACTCTTACACATCCTATTTCAGTTGAGCCGAGTTGCAGCTTTTTTTTTGCACATTTCACACTTCAGACTTGTCTTCTTTTCGATGTCTCTATCTTCTATACCTCTTATCTTTTGTAAATATTTAATTACATGTTTCATTAAATGAATGTGACCATGTGAACTCAACTAATTTAATTGCGTTTCAATGCTGTGACAGCCCCTTCCATTGTGGACTTCAAAGCAATAATACTTAAAAGGTAATACCTGCTTTTATTCAAGCTTTTAAAACTTTGTTCTGTCTGATTCATTCTGCTCTGATGTAGCACCGATTAGCTTCTAAAGACCAAGGATGACTCCACCATGAACGTTTCCTGTTTCCTGTTTCAAACCACCCATATTAGGAGACTTGAGAGAAACATACGCCACCAGTCCCCATAGCTTGCTTCATCCTTATTTCCACCATGATATTCCCTGGCTTAATGTTCACAAACTGAAATCAAGGCCACATTAGCTATTCCTTAAGATTGGGTTTACTAATGACATGCCATGGATCAAAGGGATATTTTTTTTTACCTTTTTCTGCCAATGACCTAAATGTGTCTCATTGCAGCTTAGATTGAATTTTTCCAAGGGATTTGGAACGGCAAGTATTTCCCACTGGATGTGTACAAAATTAAGTTATAACATGCTTTTTATATATTGATTATGCTTTTGATACAGACATAACTGTTTTACTCTGATCTGGAGGCTTTGGGAATGAATGCATAAGTGGTTTTGACTCGTTTTTAATTGCTGCTTCATGGATACACTCAACTTAATGTACACTGAAAAACGTTGACGTTGACTCTAATTAATTGTATTATGTCAAGAAATGTATCATAACTGTTTTAGGTTAGTTGAAAGCAACAATATTAAGTTGAACCTAAAAAAAAAAGCATTTTAACTTGACATTATTGCTTTCAACTAACCTACATTTGTCACCATAATACATTTAATTAAAGTCAAAGTTTTAGTGTAGATTATTTTATCCTTTATTTTATTATCAGGGATGTTCAGAGTGGCTGTAGGTGCGTTTGCGAGCCTCGTACCTTTGTCCCCCCTGTTCAGCTGGTGGGTGGAGCCGGCTGACAGGTCCTCAGGGACGGCCATGGGCTCCTCTGCCTCCTCGGATGCTTCGTTGGTGGGGGGGCTGTCTCTGCCTGGGGAGACACACACCAGCAAACACCCATCACTCACCACGCGGCCCCTCGACAGCTCTGATTCAGACGCAGAATTACCTCTGGGTGTTGTAAGCGCCTGTTTGTCGGCCTATTGTATCTACTTTCTGATCTTTACAGCTCAATCATGCAGTAGGCGGTCTTTTACCTGGCATCTGGGCCATTTCCTGCGCCTCCTCCGTCTCCATGCGGTGCAAGTACTCTAATGGGAGAGAGATGGAGATGTAGATGTGTGTTAGTTTAATCAAGTGCATGCGAGGAAACAACATTATAAGAAGCTCGAGTGGAGTAAAGGGTTCACCCCAGTGAGATCACTTTTGTTACCACCGCAGACGCACCACTGTCCCCCACATTACATTACAAAGAATTACAGACATTTTCATTACAAGTCTGACAGAGAGGCTGAGCTCGCAGAGTGGCTCTGTTCCGGCTGATGTGGCCTGCTGGTAGCACGGGGTTGGGAATGGGCTTTCAGACCACATTTGTTATTTATTGTTAATTTCCTGCCACGTAATCATCCAAAAATGCAAACTGACTGCCGCAAAATTAAGCAGAAAATTAACTGGCCCCAGGTCACGGAGATGCGGGTGTCTGCCGTTCCCAGCTGATCGTCGCTGTGTTCTCTCTAATTTACTGAGCATGCATCGCTGAACCCGCGGCCTGGGCACAGACGCATGCAAGCCACAATCAGAAACAATGAGACAGGGAGGGAGAGAAGAGGAGAGAAGGAGAAGACAGAGGAGCAGTGAGATAGATAGAGGCTGAGATGTAGATAGCAATGAGAGGGCAAGAAGTCAGAAGAGTAATAGCAACAGGATGGCACAGAGAGAAAAAAAGGTTATAGAAAAGCAGGCCGAAGAAGAGAAGGTCTCTTTATTTATGATTTCTTTTTTTTGAAGCGTTCCTCCGGCCAGGGCTGAATATCCGAGGAGTCACCAGTGTTCGTGGCCCCATTAATAATGGATGGCCCTCAAGCCTGCAGCAGATGGGCCCGACAGCCTCAGCCCCGGCTCCGCCACTTCAAGAAACCCTTGGTGGGGCCGCTGCCCAGTCCAAGCAGCCTCTCAGGGAGAAGTGAAGCTCCCGAAAATAGCGAAACAAGCCCAAGGGAGAAGGGGAACCTAGGCCTTCCTGTTTTACTGACAGATGGCTCCACACATTTGGAACAAATAGTGGGAAGCCGCTCTGTCGCAACACGCAATATTCTGCGGAGTCAAGTCAGGAGCTCTGAAGACGCCCAGGAAGCAAGTGTGAGGGGAGGAGGGCAAAGGTCACTGGTGCAGAAGAGCTGTTCAGCACAGGGGTGTCGCGTGTTACTCTGAGGCTCTGCAGCGGCCTTCTTCAGCATCTGGAGTTTGGAGGTCGGGGGCGGCGGAGGGGGGTATATTCTCATGTGCCCTTTTTTACTGGGCAGATGGTACGAGGGGAAACACGGATGTGTTGGCTTCGAGGGGGCGGGGGGCAGAAATAAAAAAGAGAGTTCCTACATTCAGCCACAACCAACTTGCGTAGGCATGTGGAAAGTAAGGTGCACGTAGAATATTCAGGAAGCAGCTACTCTCTGATGCTATTTATATGCAGTTGTATTTACATGTTAAGTGTTACAGACATGTTGGCAAAAACTTTTAAAAAACTTCTCCCATATTGACTTCAGTTGTGATTTAAATAGTGTTACTTAATTTTCCACAGTTTTAATTCTTATTACAAAAACATGCTTTCTGATGTGTGTGTGTGTGTGTGTGTGTGTGTGTGTGTGTGTGTGTGTGTGTGTGTGTGTGTGTGTGTGTGTGTGTAAACTGGGGGCAGGTGGAATCTTTTAACGGGTGAAATGGAAGTCAAAGAAAATACTTCTGACACATAGCGCGGGGGGACTGGAAAAGTTTTGGTCTGACTATATGTCAAGTGAGGAGAGACAGGAAGAGGCTTGTGGGTTGACAGAATTCTCGGTCTTCCTCCAGTGTGTTTGTAAGTGTACGTGTGTGTGTGTGTGTGTGTACGTGTGTGTGTGTTTGTGTGTGTGTTTGTGTGTGCGGTGGGGGTGGGGTGGGGTTAGAGGCGTCTGCTCAAAGTGAGGTGCAAAAGCGGCACCAGGGAGCAGGGTGGAGATGAGAAACCGTTAACAGATACTGAGGACCACACCAGCCAAAGTCTGGATACCCGGGAGGACGCTCAGACGCCAGTGTGTGTGTTTAAATGAGCATACATAACACACATTTCATTTTAACGGTAAATATGAGGCAACGCTCAAGAAAAGATACAAAAATAAATCAATAAGGAGAAAATATTTAATGTAAGGAGAATTAATTAACAAATATACATTTCCTGAGTGTTTAAGTTTAATTAAATTAAGTTTAATGTTATTAAAAATCATGAGTTTATTTATTTTTTTATAATTATCCAATATAAGGTATAATTTATCAACTCTGTTACTTTAAATTGAAAAAAATTAATACTTAAACCTCAAATTAAAGTTGGATAAAAGGCCAAGTCGGTTTAGGTTAACATCTTTTTTTAACATGTTGCTGACAATAACAATTTAGACGGCAATAAAACATGTTACAGCATTTAAATACATCAGTATGTAATACAATATAATTTTTTTAATGCTGACTTCCCACCGATTACATTCCCAAACATTATCATTCATAATTATCCTATAGTTCCCACTCATAGTTTCCACTTTGCACGTAAACATACTAAGTGACAATTAATGAAAATATCCGAATTAATCATTTTCACTCCTGTGGGTTTTACGAGAAGTAATGAAGCTGTGGGCGCTTCCTTATCAGCTATTAGGATTAGAGATGATCCTACAGTGCCGAGCAATGTGGTGCACGATCACCTTTGTTCATATGCACATGGAGATTCTCATCAGTAATTCATGAAATGTATGGGTGTTAGTGGGTAGATAGTGTTAGCGGATGTGTTCTGGGGAGCCTATCGAGGGGTGAGGGGAGAGCAAAGGTGCGCTGAAGAGAAGTTTCCTTCATTTGCATCTGACACACTTCACTACTCTCCTATTCAGACAGTACAATCATTTTAATAACTGTCTGCCTGCCTCTAACCCCCCCGCCCCCCACCCACTCTCCCTCTTTTACTTCTGTTTCTACTGACAAGAAAGATGATGTATGTGCAGAAAGATTTGCAGCTTTCCAACTGAGATATAAAGATATGAAAATGTCCTATTTGTGCAGGAATTGGGGTTCCTTTTCCGAGTTTTGAACATAACATTTGAAATCTAACTTTCTTTTACTACATTTGGTAAGTTTTTTGTTTTTCTTAAATATTGGATTTGAAGTGTCACTTGAGGGAATTTACATATTATTAGTAACTTCCTTAGATTAAAAAAAACTCAGAAAAATTATAAATTGTACTTAAGAAGCAAATGGCAAATGCAGTCATATTTGCAAAAATGTATAAATAAATAAAAAGCATATTAAATACAAAGAAGATTGGGAGAAATGAATGGCAATTTATTGACTCATTGCAGCACCATCGTCAATAACGATAAAGGATTATGAAAAGTTACAACAATTTTTTATTTGATAAATATATTTAGCTTAATCAGGAACTTTAGGTTTTGCAACATGTAAGAGAAATATGCAGACACTTTATTTCCTCCACAGAGTGAATGTTGGAGTTTTTCTGTCTGGGCGTTGATGAACTACTTTCCTCCTCAGTGTGAAAAGTTTCATCAGTCCTGCCTACATATGTGTCTTTATCCTGCCTTCACACAACAACTGAGACTGTGGTTCGAACAGGTGAATGCAAAGCTAAACGGTATGAGAACATTAAAGATTTCTCGATTATTACCTTAAGGAAACACAAGCGTTAGTCTGTGGGTATTGATTTCCTGTTTAAGAGGCGCTAAAATATTTACACAGACGGTTTGGTTTCTAGCCCCAGACAAAAGTTGCGATTTATTTAAAACTTGTTTTTTCAGATTAGTTGTTATGATAATATGTTTTTCGAAAAATAGACCGTCTGAAGTTTACTTGGCGCGCGCATCTGTTGCAACAGGTGCTACAACAGGAGTGTCAAAAACTAAAAACAGGTTTAAATGATAAACAAATGTATTTATAATAAAATGGAAATGTTAGAAAATAGATTCGTATAATCATATACATCTAAGTGATTGTGAAATAATGTATCCATATGTTCCCTAAAGAAAAACACACAGGAAAAATGAGGAACATTCCACTACTTCCTTAAAAAAAACTGGCTACTTTGTCACATAAAACGTGGAAAAGTGAATGTATCTTTCTTTATTCAATTTTAAAGTACTTTAATTTACCAATCCGTTACATATCCTGAATGTTTTACGCGCACCGAACGGGATTATGCTCCGGCGCACCTGCACCGAAACTAAAGGAGTCTTTTCCAGCCAGGTGCAAAATGTCTCCTAAAACTCTTGAGAAGAAACAAGCCCAATTTGGAACTATCGAGCTATCTTTTAGAGATTATTCTGGGACTAAAAGGCGCGGTGGAAGTCACTTTACCTGCTATTCCTTGAGTTTGCAGTATGAAGTTCTTCCAACTCTCCCCGGCTCCATGTGCAGAAGGTCGCAGCGCCGCGGCCCCATGGAGCTGCGCCCGGAGTCCCTCCCCTCTCCACTGCACTTCCTCGTTCCAGCCCAACATGACTATGTCTGTGAGCTCTGCTGGGGCATTTTGCTCGCTTTTATCCACAGGCCGAGTCTGCAGCGGGGAGTCAATCCTCCGAGCCCTTGGCACTTGCTTTGTGCCGTGCCAATACAAGCTGACACCCAGTAGACCATTACTGGCAGCCATGCATGAGATGGGATGAGGCGCGCGAAGAGAGTGGACCATTCATTGTTTATTTATTTCATTCTCACCAAAGAAGGGGGTGGTGGGGGGGTCCTTACTTGCATATTGGACAGCTCCCCTTCTGTCACCTGTTCTGGCACGCTGAAGCAGTCCATGAAATGAACACAAGTGTTTTCTTTCCCATTTAATGAGTTTTATTTATCTTTTTAATGATTCCCCTGTTTGACTTTCTTTCCAGTTATTCCCCTCCTCAGTGTCAAAGCTTCTGTCCTGCCTCATAACAAAACAGGTTGTCCCGAGTCTGGACTATATCAGAATTGAGCACATTGTTTCTTCATTGTTTTTCTCAAACAGTGCATCCTCACTGTGTTTCTGTCCTGGTCCTGCAGGAGAGCATCAGGCAGCGTTAGTCACTGAAATGTGGTTTCTCTCTGGTTTTGTGTGCAGGAGTTTACAAACCAACACTCTGCACTTGCTCTTTGAGTCCGAACCCAGAAGAGATTTCTCAGTTTCAGATGCGTTCATCAATATGTTGATAATAATATGCATTCCAAACTCCTTGACTGCAGAGGTGACTAAGTGGATTTACTCAAGTGTCATTTTAAAGTAGTTTACTTAAGTACTACTTCCATTTCCTGCTCCACATGTCCCTACAATTCAAGGAAATTATTGTACTTTACTCAACTACATGTATTTGATAACGATTTACTTTGAAGACTCAGGTTCTAATTATTATAACAAAATATAATCAGCAAAATTGTATCATATTATTATTATTATTATTATTATAGGTTCAGATCATATTTAATGATATATTTTTAAATTGTCAAGCTACCTGGACATTTATAGAGTTGTTTTTTTAAAGCTCCTACTTTACTGCCACATTTAATTATTTTACATAATACAATTTTGAAAGCATTTTACTTCAGAGAGTAAGAGTATTAATACACTGTGGCATTCCTACTTTTACTGAATTAAAATATCTGAATCTTTGAGATGCACAAAATTGAATGTAATGAGTAAAGCGTCACACGCTTACCATCTGCAGCACATAACTGCAACACTTTATCTCCCTCCATCCATGCGGATATTTTGAACATACCATGTAAGGGCAGGCCTTTTTAGATGCCAAATAACTACTTTTACATTTTCTTATAATGCTAACATAATTGCCAAGTGTCAATCTCTCGCGTAGTCGTGAAGTTAAAGCCACGGAGTGGTGAAAATATAAATTGTGGATTAATATTTATGGAAATTCTAAATAAATAATGAGTCACTCCTGTGGATTGGCTAAAATAACTCACCTCTCATTTTCAGACATGTCCTGTCATTATCATCTCATTTGAATACATGGTTATATAATTACTGATGTTCTCAAAGCTTATTTAAAGTAGAGCTTTTTCCTTCAAGAACTGACATTCACTCCTGATTAAGTTACAAGGATAAGTCATATTCGCACTTCTGTTTCCTCTGCTTGTGACTGTTATTTTCCAGGTCTCCCACTCTCCCCAGAACCCTCGGAGCCCCCTTATCTCAGGAGAGGCTGTGTGTGCTTGATTGCTGAGTCACCTTTTGTGGGAGGCTGCCCTTATCTCCTAAGAAACACAGCATTCAGGCAGTTGGTTGCAAAAGGAGGAACTTTGGGCAGGAGCACTGTGGCCCTGCTGTGTCTTCACGGCCATGTTGCGCATTGCAGCGACACTCGCTGACTTCCTCAAAGCCTCACTGCCGACGTCTTCCTCTCTCTCTAGGTCTGAAGCTGCAGGTGTGGAAACGTTGCAGGATGAGCAGCTCCTGAGGCCACACACAGAGGGAATGCTGGGCCTGATATGTGACTCGGTGCTATCAGTGAACGCAGAGGTGTCCAACTGTGACCGTGCTGCTCCATGCCTCAGAGATACCGCTTCTTCCCAGTGACACAGCAGCTTCTCTCACTGTAGCTCTGAGAGGCAAAACAGTGTCAGGACAATGATTCAGTGAATGTTTTAGAGAAGTTACAAATGAGGTGGGATCAATACTCACCGCTGGCTGAGTTGCTGATCCTAATCCTAACGTCCGACTGCTACAAAACATGTGTTAATTTGTATTTGTCGCAGCTTCCTTCCTTTGATTTCAACAAACCACTTAGATGTCTTAAAAAGACAGTTCTAAAGCGTCATCTTTCATTTATTTGATTTTAGTTACAGTTTTGATCACTTGTTTGGCTCCCGATGATGTGTTGATATCGTGAGACTCGCGTTTAATCAAAATAAATAATACACTTTTCACATATTCAACAAAAAAAACAGGCCTTTACAAGTCATTCAAATCAAAATAAAAGAGTCAGAACTCAAATAAAAGAATAGGAAACGTATACTGTCTTTTTGTGTAGGATAATATAACTTAATGATAACTTAACGCGTTAGAACTGTCTGTTTAAGGCGTCTAAGTGGCTTGATGGATACAAAGGGATGAAGCTGTTAATTCATTAAGCAACCAGTGCCTAAAACAGAGGAGCAACTTAATGTAAAAACAATCTTTTTATGTATACTTAGTATAAAAAATACATTTCATTACAGTTAAACAGTCATTTAGGGAAATGTAACCACAGTCCATACAGTCGCATGATGCCACATTCATCACCTCAATGTATTCTCACATGAAGAGGTCTAACCTTCTAATATTCCCTAGACCTAAGATTTCGATCGACATAACTGTAGCTATGTACGAATGACAATAGAAGTCTTGAATCTTGAATCTGAAACTTAATTCTGTTGTTAAATACTGTGTCTCGATGACACACTGAAAAAACTGAAACGTTGAGTTTAATTAATTAATTTTATTATGACAACAAATGTCACACAACTGTATTGGGTTAGTCGAAAGCAATAATATTAAATTGAACATAATCTGTTGACCTAACATTAAACTCAACGTTTCAGTTTGGTCAGTGCAGGTTGCCCATGTGTCTTTAGAGGCTGGCGCTGTGGGAATTGTGTTATACAATATTTGGCCCTTTTTACGAAACAAAAGACTGGCTCTAACAATATTTTTATGCAAATGTACCTTCAAATTGAAGCGGATTTGTGCAGAGGGCTTTTTCAAGGTGACTTCATTCTGCAGCCTTTAAGGTTTTACTACTTGCTGTAATCCGCGGCGGCAAATCAAACATAACCCTGAGCTCCTCCGGGTTAATCCACAACCTGAAGCCAGCTCTGTTGCTGTAATTAATATCATTACCTGGCAAGACTCAAAACATCATCAGGCGATGTATCCGGTCGACTACGGAACAATAGGCTCCGGCTGCTTCTTATTTCATGGATCTTTAAGCAGTATTCACGGTTTCACATTTGGAAGCACGAGCAGCATGTAACCCTTAATTGGTTTCAACACCTTAATAAGTCAAAGGCGTTCAAGACTGATAATCACATTAAATAGTCCAATTTATCTATAAAGTCAATTGCAAACTGAAATACTCTCTTTCTTTAGGAATGCATTATGCTGTGAGGATGTCAGAGTAAATTAAATTCCCCCTTTGCACACTAAAGCATCTATTTCCTTATGGTAATTATCTGCTGGAATAGACGTGTCACTAGAAGGAGTCAGGCATGCTTGACATTTAGCCTTTTTATGGAGCGGCGATGAGTAAAAATTAAGATGAGGGAGAGGAAATTAATCTGCAGCCCAGGCAGGCATTGAGAGATCCTGGAGGATAGGGGCTGAATCAATCATGATGTTTGTGAGCCTGTTTTCAAAAGGAGTCGGTGATGAGATTCAGACCACAGGCTGGAAAATCTGAAGGTGGGGGAGGGGGGCGCGTTTAGAAAACAGAGTTGCTATAAGGAGGTTTATGCAGTTTGTAATGGTTTCAACACAACACTAAACATTAAAACGCAGGTACAATACAACATTTTAAAGAAACAATTTTGGAAATGAGTTTTCTTTTGCTGAGAGTTGGATGAAAATATTGATGTTATTTCCATGTCTTGGGATAAGAGCTACCCGGAGATGTCAAAATGTGTATTTGTTATTTATTTGAGGTGCCGAAAGGTACATTTTTCAACCTTTTGACAGAGCTGCTTTAGCTGTTTCCCTGTTTCCAGTTTCCCTGTGTGTGAGCGCTGTCAATCTTCTCATTTAACTCGGCAAAAAAGCAAATAAGGGTATTTTCCAAAATGTCAAACTATACTGTCAAACTGTCAAAAACATCTCCAAACGTCCTCAATAATTTAGGCTAATCCCTCTATTTAAATAGTAGGGGATCATATTGAAGGCTGGCTTCCTAAATGTAGGCTTTAAGAGGAGAATGTCCAGCACATTAATTGGTGGTTACTGGACATCAATCACCAGGAGAGCACCTCTAAATATAGTGCATTGTAAAGGAACAGATCTTAACAAACCTACTTTGTAAGTCAGTATTATTTATTACACTGATCATTAATGAGACATTGTGTTCAAATAAATGGTGACCAATGTGGGGCAGGAAGAGTATATTGTGTTAATACAACTGCAAATGGAATTCAGTCATTACATTACAGTTACTAAACCCAGTGATGCTGCTGTTCTTTAAGTTTAGGACTGTACTGTCTTACCAGGAGTTTGATGGAGACGGATATCAGCTTGCTCTCAGTTGTCTGAGGAGAGAAGGACAAGTCCATGTAAACTCGAGTTAGTGGAGGTGTTGGGAGGCATCTAAAAAAGGTGAAATGGGAATCCTGGTAACTTAAAAGTGACTTTATTAAAATTAGAATTCTACGCTGGCTTGGCAAAATTGCCAATTAGCCTTTGGAGTCATCTGTTCGCTCAGAGTTTTGGACGTGTGAAGGCTGTGGCCTCACTGTGAGGACAGGACTGCTATTACTAAAACGTAAAGGCAGACTTGCTCAAATAATGTTTTGGGTAATGTTTTTTTCACCTCCTACACATGGCACTAGACATGAAGCGTAGAGGATTCAAAATCTTTTAAGCCATCTTTGATCAAATCGAATTCATAAAGGTAGTTAATCGTGCCTTTGAGTAACTAAGTAAAATAATTGAATG